CTCGAGATATGAAGAGACATAAACAAGTGATTACAAATTTACCTTATGTTGAATTAGCAATAAATGCCATATTACAGAATCTATGAATGATATAGTTTTAAATTATTTAAGGAGACAGAGCAAAGAGGCTCACCTGGACAGAAGAAACCAGGGTCAACCTCACAATTACCTCCAAGATCAATGCCACTGCCACCAGAAATCTTCTTATCAAATCTGACTCCCAACTTTCAAGGATTCATTTTCTTCAAAAGGAAGCCTCACTTCACTTGTGAACTATAATCTGGAACTCTGCAGATTGTATCATTTGGAAGAAACCACTCAGAGGATGCAGATGATGACACCAAAAGATTGTTTTAATAAAAGGAAAAAGACCCAGAGGTGATTGCAAGTAAAAGATGCAAATGGTAACATTAAGAGGTTGTTTGTAAAAAGAAGGCATAGAAACAGATAATTCATAAATAAAATACATATAGTTCAGAAAACCTGCACACCATCACATGTCAGATTGACAATCAGAAATTCAAACCAATCAGGGCAGTTTGTTCAGTAAGAAAATCTACACCATCAGACAATCGTTATAGAACCTAAGTACAATACTAGTATATACAATAAGTTTGAGAAAATATCACATGCCATGTTCATAAGAAAATGGAGCTAGTTATTACCATGATTACTAGATGAGATCTGCTTTCTTGGATGTGTTTGGAATACAAAAATCCTACAAGAATTAAAAATATGACATCCTGTCTGGTGTGTACAAATTCCTACGATATTCTTAAGAGACTCATGCGTTCCAAACAGTGACATCAGTTGAATATTTTTGAAAGTAAGCTTATGTCTATGCCAGACATAACTTACTGCGATGCAAATGTTTTCCAGATTGGCATTACAGTAGTAATTTGTCTCTCAAAATTCCTCACCCTTGGTACTATCATACCACAAAATGTACTTTTAACTTTTAAGTGAACACAGAGATGAAAACTGCTTCACATATTGAGGTACATGAATTTAAGAATTCAACAAATAACATTAGAAAACCAAGCTTAATACATGCACCGACCTTTGTCCCCCAAGGATAATTCCTGTTGATTGTAGGCTTGTAGAGAACCGATGTATCTCACCCGATCTCCTGAATAAATCATCGGAAAGTATTGCCATGTGGTATTATTACCATCACAAATATTCTGAAAAAGGAACTACAATCCCCTGCACAGTTTATAACAGCATGGACAAATTTAAGGTCACCATACTCAGAACAATGGTTTTCCACTTCATACAATAAATAATGACCAAAAGTAGTCACTACTCAGTTAGTCTATGTATATCATTACCAGCAAACTGAAGTATTGTTGTGCAAACAAAAATATATGTTTGCAATAGTGAACCAATTGCTTGAGTTGTAACAATTCCATGTACTCTGTATTCTGAAACGAACTCTGCACAGCCACATGCTCTGAATCAAATCATGTAGAATCTAGATGGTTAAGTAACAAACTGAGCATTGAACAATCCATTTATAAGCACTCCTGCATTTGGCTCTCCAGCTGCGTTTCTGCTGAGAGATCACTCAAACAAGAGGTAACTTTACCATAGGTAACAAGAGGTCACTCAAACCCAAGGTCCAACCAACAAACCAAACACCATCTCTAGTGTACAGCATCCTGTCATACAACCAACCAAACAGCATCTCATATCATCCAGGATCAACCCATGCAAACAACCAAACACAGTCAATTGCATTACCCTAGCCAGGCTGAGGACATACGAGCAACCAAACACACCCATAGACTTCATGCTGGAATGCATTTCGGCTGGTACAACTTACACTGCTGCCCAACAGAAGTTAGTTTGTTCATGATTCCTTTTTTTCTTTATTCCGAGTGAAGACTCCCTACAAGTTCACCCCTCTCTTAATAAACTTAAACTTTGGCCAGCTTTTGCCGGCCTGGTGAGAAAAAGAACTACTCCCTGCAAGAGCAGAATACAGCGAGTGTCATCTGGGTTCAATCCATCTCCCAGCATATTGTCATACAACTGGAATGCCTCCTCTGATCTCCTTTCCTTGGTTAGGCCGGATATCAGAGCTGTATATGCCACACGTTGGATCTGAAACCCCTCTGCTTCATCTTTTCAAAGTTCAAAAAGCCCCAGTGGCACATCCATCTTCCCACTGACACACTGCCAATGAACTACCGCTGCATAAGATCTTCTCCATCTCCTTTCTGAACCTTTCAGCCTCGCATGTGCTCCCCTTCTTGATGTACCATCAATCATAACATTGTAGGTTACCAGACTTGATTTTGCTCCATTTCCTGCCATCTCTTGAAACAGCCTTCTTGCCTCGACCATGCCACCTTCATTGCAACGGATGCTGATCAACGTAGTGCACCTTACATTGTTTGGTCTGACACCATTCTCAATCATGATATGCAATAGGTTCTCAGCCTCATGCATCCTATCTGCCCTACCATATTGTATGTATACCGTATACACATCCAGCTCGAGGCACATCTTCTCCATGAGACCATGACCATCTTTTCCGCAAGAGCCTTGTCCACCGTACTTTGCTGATATCTCTAGCCGCCAATGAAGCATCGACGAGGATTTTGTACGTCCCAACTGTGGGCTCAATGCCTTGATTTCCCATTAACTCCAGCACCTCCGCTACCTGACCGTGTTCTTCCTAGCGCGTGTGTATCGAGCAGCGAGTTATAGCATAGCGCATTAAGCTTGTCATTTCGTCGAGCAGGTGGAGGGCGTAGGTGACGTGGCCGGACTTGCAGAATCCGTCGACGACAATAGACGCGGAGAAGAAGCGTGACGGAGCCGGGACAAGAAGTGGCAGCCAGTTTGAGGAGGTCGGCGGCGGCGTCGAGATGGCCTGTTCGTCGGAGGGAGAGGAGGTGAGGGAGTGGGGATCAAGGCCGCCGAGGCGCGGGGTATGGTTAGCTCCAAGGCCTCGGCCGTGCCCGTGCGATCGAGTCGGGGCGCCCGAGTCCGCGTAGGCGCGGAAGAGCATGTCGTAGAAGGCGGTGACGGCGTGCGGTGCGGCGGCGCGCCGGTGGAGGAGGCGGCGGCCAGGTCAGCGAGCAAGCGGGGCTTGATGAGGGAGAGGCGAGCAGCGACTTGGCGGCCCCGCGAAGCGGCGCGGCGCGGCGAGGAGCGACACGATACTGGCGAGCGGCACGGCCGGAAACGCCGGCGCCGGCGACTGGGAGGACGACGCCATCGCGCGCGCGCCGGGGTGGGGGGGGGGGGTGACGGCGAAGTGGAGGCGGACGCACGGGGCGATGCGGCGCTTTTAAATCGGAGGTAAACTGTCATCCGGACCCACCGGTATTTTCGAAAATTTTGGGATTTATTGGTAACACGCTGAAGATTTGCATCGTTAGAGTAAGTTTAATAGTATAGCTAACTACTAGCTCTAAATCATTGATAGCCAATGTAATAGCTAATTTATACAATAGTTGCTTATTATACTATTCTTGTCATACATACATTACGTCTAAGAGTCCGTGCTGGGTACAGATTTGTAGCCCGCTATTCTTCTCTCTTTTCTTTTATCTCTTTAAAATATGTTTATAGCTTAGCTTATAGCCTGTTATTGTACCTGCTCTTATCACTTGAGAGGTTTTTTTTGTCATTTTAGGGTGACCTATATGAATATTTTAATAGACGACAAACCTCTAAAGCAGGTTGTCAGGTTAGTGATGTATATCTTCGACCGTAAAGATCATATACGTAAATAATTATGTTACGATAGTAAAATAATTATGCTGTGTAATTCATATGTAGATACGTATGTGGTCATATTGTAACTCGAAAAAAATAGTGTAGATCGGTGCTGGAGGCATGCGCGAATACCTGGCGCATCGTGTGTTTGATCATTGGCCCTGCGCAAGTGTTTTTTCACCGATCGGCACACGCATCTCAATCTCTCAGAGCTCATCTAGGCATCTCAAAACTCCTCTGATGCATTAAAAAGGTTGCCTAATTTTGCTCGAACTGGTGCACACATTTCAAAACTCATCTAATGGTTGAAAAGAGGCTTCTCCAACCGGCACACGCATCTGGAAGCTCTATCTAAGCATCTCAGAACTCATCTCAGGGTTAGAAAAAAGGGTTAATTTGATCTATGTCATTGCAAATGTGCTTATTCAGACAAATATTATTGCAATTCGTCTATTCGTAACCGTGTCACTCAAATTTTACAAAATTGGAACCATATCATCGCCGTCACGTTTTTCATCCTCTCCTCCATCTGCATGTGGGACCCATCCGTCATATTCATCTCTCCCAACTACAATGTCCACCACTTCAGCTACGCGCATGACGGCGGCTAGCTGTCGTGCGTTCCTTGCTACTGGATGTTCTGCAGCGAGGTGGACCGGACAAGCCGCTGCTGCAGCCCGAGCAGCTCAGCGGTCACTCCGTCGACTGGCACCGCCATGTAGTAGATCATGCCATTGTCCTGCTCGGCGCTAGCGAGCTCGTCCTCCACCTCCCACTTCAGCCACTTGGCGGTGGCGTGCACCGGTGGTTGACATGCTGCCGCTGCAGCTCGGGGCTCTCCAGTGCGGTGCGCACGTCGCCGTAGTCCAGGCTGACCTGCCTCGTCACCATGGATCGAACACAGCGTCGGCAGCCTCTCTCTGACAACAGCGAGCTTGAAGGAGCACTCCAGCACCTGCGTCAGCATCGGGCTCTTCAGCGCCTTGACGTGATGGATTGGTGGGGAGGAGGCTGAGAAATAGTGGAGAGAGATGGGGAAAAAGAGGAGGGGAGGATGGAGGAATAAGATGAATCTTACGAATTGTAATGGTATTTATCTGAATAGGCATATTTATAATGGTATGGATCAAATTAACTAAAAAAGAACGCTTTCTTCAATCGACGGACGAATCTCAAAACTGATCTAACGGTTAAAAATAACAAGTTAATTTCAGTCAGCGGGAATTAGTCTCAAGAAAAGAGACTATAGCACCAAAGCAACCACCTTCTGATCAAAAGATGTCTCTGCATTCTGCATATAACTTCAACCAAAGGAATTTTAGTTTGGAACCATTTCTTACTACAGTGTTTACATCACAAACATACTTTCTCCCCAACTCCACTGAACAGCAAAGTTAATAACAAATTAAAACAAACAATTAAATGAAATTAATGAAGGCATTGATGTTCGATGCATGCAATGGATCAGAACTCTACGTTGCCCTGGTAGGTGGCGGACTTGATGGTGGGCTTCTTCTTGGGTGAGATGCTGTCGACGACGAGCGCGCAGTGCACGTTGACCCTCACCTCCCGGACGTCGAACGAGCCGAACCGCAGCGACACGGGCACGCTGACGAACACGTCGAGCGGCACGTTCCCTTCCTTCTCGCTCTCCTCCAGCGCGCTCTGCAGCCCCGACCCGAAGCCGTGCCTCCCTTCCATGGAGATCTCCATCACCGTCACGTTCTTGAACCCCTGGTAGAAGGTGGGGAGGTGGCCGGAGCACAGCGGCGTGCCGCGGTAGGAGACGACCGTTCGGGAGCCGTCGCCGTAGATGATGCCGATCATCTCGTTGGGGTTCTCGGCCCGCACGGTGGCCACCAGCTTGGTGTAGAGCGTCAGGTCGTTGGAGTTGAAGTCGAACTGCGACACCGACATGTTGCTCACCGAGTAGGACGGCGCCTTGGGCTTGTACAGGAACAGGGCGTACGCCGCCGCGCCGGCGAGCGCCGCGACGATCAGGAACAGGAAGCAGCAGCACCAGCACAGCACGCAGCAAATCCCGCCGCCGCCGCCGCCGCCGTCGTCGGGGTACCGGGGCGCACTGCGCTTCCCCATTAATTGTTAATTCTTCCTAGCTATGTATTATAATTAGCTGAGCTAAGCTATAGCTCTAGCTCTAGCTAGAGAGAGATCGTTGCGTTGTCCCTCCGGGCTCCGGCCGCCGCGGCGCGCTGGCTCCGAGCGAGATGCCGGCCGGCGACGGGTGGCGGAGGAGAGGTAGGGTGGGGGGTGGGTAGCTAGGCCGTGCATGGAGGGGACGAGAGAGCGTGAGCTATATATTTGTGGAGCTTGTCCGTCCTAGCTGGTTCGGTCGGCATGAGCTAGAGGATGGGAGGAAAAGACGCGGGAACTTTGATTGTTAGGGAAGCTGCGCGCGTGATGATTCATTAACTAACACGAGGAAATTAATAGGTTTGCGTTATTGGTCAGAGAAGAGAAAGTTAAAAAAAAAAGCTATTTTTAGTACACCAGCAGTTATAAGTAGTTTCTCATCATTATTTGTTGACTGTTCTCTATTTCAGGTTATAAGACATTTTTATTTTGGTTAAAGTTAAATTGTTTTAAGTTTGATCAAGTTTATAGACAAATATAGTAATATTTATAATACTAAATTAGTTTTTATCAAATCAATAATTAAATATATTTTCGTAATAAAAATTTGTCTTGGGTTAAAAATGTTACTACTTTTTTTCTACAAAGTTAATCTAAAGTCAAAGCATTTTATAACCTGAAACAGATAGAGTAGCTTAATTAATCACTCCCTGCTCCACAGTTTGTCTTAAGTTTAACCAAGTTTAATAACATAGCAATACTTATAACACTAAATCAATTTCATTAAATCCATTGTTATATATGTTATTAAAAATGTTATTATAGTTTTCTATAAATTTGATCAAAGATTTAAAATAAATCCAAAATAACTAAGGGAGTAACTATCATTCAATCGACAAATAGAAAGTATCTTCGGACCAGTTTGTGGGTGGATTAATTTATTTTGTTGTGGTTTTTGAGCAATCTCTCAAAATGGATACACTAACCCGAACATTGATCATATTTGTCCACATATCATTGGTTGTCAACTTGTCAAGTCAACGCTGTTAAGATGATATTTGGTTAAGCCATGTCATCACGAACGTTCAACCTGGATTTTTTAAATTTTAGATCTTTTTTAAAAGTTATTTCATAGAAAAACTTATTTCAAGAACATATTCTTTTCAATGTTATTGGTGTCGTGGTTCAACATGACGTCGCAAATGACATTGGCGCCTTCCCTTAGCTTATCCATGGAAGTTAAGTCACTGATACGATGGGGATAGTACCAATGACATTCTCACTGGGAACCTATTGTAAATATTTTTTTTATTACAAACAAGTTCTTTGAAATTTTTTTACAAATAGATCCTCGACCCCAATAACATTGGCGCCAAACCCCTTCACATCAGTGACCAGCTTCCGTTGGGAGGCTAGGGGAGTGCACTAATATCATTGACGCCGAGAACTTATTTAAAAAAGAATTGAAAATGACCTATTTTTAATAAAGAATATTTACAAAATAAGTTATCAAAAAGATAAAAAAAACGTTCTGTCATGTTGCCACTGCCCCAATAGCATTGGCGCCGTGAAAAGAATTAATTTTTAGAATAAGTTTTTCAAAAAGTTCAAAAATGTGAAAAATCCATAACGTTCATCCGTTTGATTCGATTCATTCGATCCACGTGATACCCTGTTGTTTCTATGAATTGGGCCCAAAGCTCAATCCTCATAAGCATTATGGCCCATCACAGCTTGATCGATTCCCCTCCTGTGCCAATGATGAAATTAGTTTCATGTCAGTTACTCTTTCTACAACCCATAAAGAGCAATGAAACACCAAAAATCATTGATAGGTAAGAATTAAGATATTCTCCGGTTGTTTTTTTTACAAGCTAAGGCTATAGTATCCTGGCTACTGCCTCAAGAAAAGAAATTAGAAGTACAATAAGTTTTACATAAAAACCCTCTAAATATGGTCAAGTTACACATAGGCTCAGAATTATGCAAAGAAGGAGCTAACAAGAAATGGAAAAAACAATCAGCTGATTTGCTATGCCCTGTCCACAACTGCAACCCTGACGATGCACACTATGACGATGAAAACAGAGATATCACAATGAGCTACAGAAGATCATGCCTCGGCATAAACCCAAATAGGGTCTCGCAAGGGAGGTTGAGGCCTTAGCAAGAAGAACCAGCCATACGTTGTATTTCTAGCACTGGAGCCAATGAGGGTTGGAGTAGAAACAAATGGCTGGGACAACTTATTCTTGGGAAGACTTAGATACTATTATAAGAAGACATTGGAGTAGTACCTGGTAGGCTTTGAGTATAAAGGAAACTTCAGAGCGAAAACCGATGATTTCTCTCAACCTTCATAGCGAAAACTTCATAGAAAACTTCAGAGCAACGGGATGGGGGTGGTTCCCTTGATCTTTACAATACTACTAGACTAGCTCGAGATACCGCTGGCCATCACCCTTGCCTCGTTGCTAGCACATGATGCATCTCCAACAGTGCTAGTGCACGCTAGGCGCTACATTAGCCAGCTCGACGGCTCGCCTAGTGTTCTGCCCGTTGGTTATAGCCCTTATCATGCTCATTACTGCCATCCCACCGCTTGCCTACGATGGCTCTGCCGCTTCAGTTATCCATCGCTTGGTCGCATAACGAGCGGGGGAGTGAGGAGGGAGCCAACTAGAGTCACTTAGCAGCCCAACAACATAAGAAAAAGCCCAATGAGCCTAAGGCCACGTTCTAAACAGCTAGTTAAGCTTAGCTATTCATCATTTTCCGTTAACATGCTTTTCAAACTACTAAACAGTTTATTTCGTGCGAAAACTTTCTATATAAAAGATGCTTTAAAAAAATCAAATAAATTCATTTTTCAAATTTGTAATAATTAATACTTAATTAATCATATGCTAATCGTATTTCTCGTTTTATGTGTAGCTAATCATCCAAACCCAATAGCCGAAAAGAACGCGGCCTAAAAACTTAATTAACTCATGTCACAAACTCCAAAGTCCATATCCATTACTCGGTGTCCTTTGCTATCAGGTTAAGGGCAGGGCAGGGGCGGAGCTAGAATAAAATGAAGAGGGTTTCACTCGCTTGCTTTACTCTGGTTTGAATTAAATTTAGCTTGATACAAGTGCCTAAGTTTAAACTGACAAGAAATATATATGGTGAAAATAGATAAATTATAGCTAAAATTTTTTTAAACCGGATTCCTGACACCCCGTAGCTATACATAGCTCCGCCGCTGGGGCAGGGGATGAGGGAAGGACGGATCGTACAATCATCGAGAGCGAGATATGGCTTACACAATCCTTCGTCCTACCAAACGCATCGATCCTGCATGTAGCACGATGAACAAATCAACCCAAATAACGTACCGTCGATTTTACTAGACTCGTGTTATCGTTGCCACATGACCAAGCCCCACCAACACCACATCCCCCGTTGTCATTTCTAATTCCAGCCTTTCGAAAAGAAAACTAACAAAATCGTGTGCAAAAACTCGAAACAAACAGGCCGGCGGCCCCATGATTGCAGCCAGCAAGGAACCTTTGAACTCACACTATCGAGCAACGACACCTCAGATCCCCTCTTGTCCTCCTCCCCCAACGGCACCAACCGGTCGGTTCACTTCACTAGCGCAAAGTAGTTCATTTCAACCCACCCACCAAAAACCAAAAAAACCATTTCAATTTTCAAATTTCCTCCTCCTCCTCCTCAAACCCCCACCACCCAGCCCAGCCATCCCCAAACCCTAAATCCGCCGCCCGCCGCCGCCCTCGCCGTTGCGCCATTCCGGCTGCGATGGGGTTCGTGGATCCGGCGGCGCCGCTGCTGGCCACGTGCGGCGGCGACACCGTCAAGCTGTTCGACGTCACGGTCGAGTCCGGCGACCCCTGCGTCCTCGCCTACACCCCCGCGCCGGCACACCCCGTCAACGCCGTCCGCTGGAACCACACCAGTGAGTACCCCCAGCCTCGCCTCGCCGGCTCCACCGCGTGCCCGCTCGTCCCGCCTCCGGCTCTCCTTTCCCCTCCCCCCTCCCCTTCCCAGATCTCCCGAGTTGGGTTTACTTTTGGCGTCGTTCGCGCGAGGATCTCTCGGTGGGCAGCCGGAGCCTCCCGGCCATGGGGATCCGTACTGTCCGGGCGATTCGAGCTGAGGGTGTCCGCGCTCCCCTGTCTAATTGAGCGATGCCCCTGCCGCGTTGTTATGAGATAGTGGCACGAGAGGATTTATTTCCAGCATTGTGATCTACTGGGTATTGTGGAGTGGGCTTGGCGCGGATAGACTGCAGGCTGAGAGTGTTGAACTGTCCCAGTGGCTCGTCATTCTTCCCGAGCTCTGAAATTCTGCATTGCATCTTCAGTTAGATACCGCGCTTATGTTTTCTGATCCTACAATGTAGAGCCAGAATTTAACTATTTGTATGTAGCGATACACAGAATGCAATCAATCGAGATATCTTTTTCTATTTCACGACTAATGAATGGATGTACTCTGTTTGCTACCAGTAATTTTAGCTGTATTACATAATCAAGATGGTGCATTGATAGACTGGGGTAATTGCTGTTCCATCTCATTATATAAGCAGCAAGATAGCTATGCTCGACTAATATTTGAACTGCACATTTTACCTGCTGGTTCTATAATATGTTTGGGGTAACATATAGAGATGGAGTCTGAGCTTGTAAGCAGTTTCATGTCAAATGTGCTTGCTTAAGAGCATTTTGCGTTACTATGCACATGCATTTGGGTGGTGCTCATAGTTCCTTAGAAATTCTTAGGTATTTTTTGAGAATGCTCTTGTAAACCCAAGTCCAAGAAGCCACTGCACCCTGTTTGGAGGAACTTTAGCTTCTGCTTGAATTATCTTAGTTTGTAGGCCCACCAAACAGGGCCTTGACGTGGTAGAGTGTTCTTTGTTGCTTCATCCTTAGCAAATCTAACCAATGTGATGTTTACAGCAAGCCATCAGCTTACTTGCAATATATCTGTCATGGGATCAGGCCGATAGGTCAAGGCCCAGCCTGATACCAAGGAAATCCCTATCCTCATCTTGTTTACCTAGGTAGCTCAGTTGGTTAGGGTACTGGGTACTTCCCTCCATCTATATATCGATGTAATTGTATCATCATTCAAGATTAAGCAATGAATCAGAATTAGTCTAATCTCTCCCTGGTGTTCTT